AATGAGTGCAAGCCTTGGCGCTCAGGGACACCCATCAGTATGTGATTGTGAGGCCACAGCACATACGTTTTAGACTGGGTGGGATTCTTATACCCAACAGGAGTCTTCTGCCCGCCTTCTCATTAGAATATGCATAATTTGTGTTTCAGGCACTAGTTAACTAGTGAGCTGCTGCACTGCCACACATGTAAACTGGTGAAATTTCAATTGTTCCACTAGTTAACTAGTGGACAAAAATGGTCAGCTTGTATGTGTTTTTAGATGTAACTAGTTAACTAGTGAGCAAATCCGCACCTCACTAGTTAACTAGTGAGCAAATCCGCACCTCACTAGTTAACTAGTGAGCAAATCTGCACCTCACTAGTTAACTAGTGAGCAAATCTGCACCTCACTAGTTAACTAGTGAGCAAATCCGCACCTCACTAGTTAACTAGTGAGCATATCTGCGCCTCACTAATTAACTAGTAAGCAAATCCGCACATCACTAGTTAACTAGTGAGCATATCTGCGCCTCACTAGTTAACTAGTGAGCAAATCCGCACCCTACTAGTTAACTAGTTGGTGTTTTGGGGCCCACTAGTTAACTAGTGAGCATATCTGCACCTTACTAGTCAACTAGTGATGCTTTTTTGCACCTTACTAGTTAACTAGTGGGCGCTTAAGGGTGCACTAGTTAACTAGTGAGCAAATCTGCACCTCACTAGTTAACTAGTGAGCATATCCGCACCTTACTAGTTAACTTGTGGGCGTTTTGGGGCCCACTAGTGAACTAGTGACACTTATTTTGCACCTCACTAGTTAACTAGTGGACATTTGTACCCTCTCTAGTTAATTAGTGAGCAGTTCCGCCTTCACAAGTTTACATGTAAGTGTCACACTGAAGCCACTACTAGTTTACTAGCTGAGGTTCCTCTGGCCAGCATGTTAACTTGTGTGCCACATGCAAATGTTTGGGGTGGGATTTTGCAAAATTCCGCACTGTGATTGGTTGTCATATTTTATTTTAACATAGTGAGCCAATAGAAAGCCTCAATTTGAGAAATTCTCTGCCTCCTAATTAGAATTCTGTGCAACTAGCTAGCTAGTGTGAATGTAGGCTTGAACTAGTTTACTAGTATACATTTATGTCCTCACTAGTTAACTAGTTTGGACAATGGATGCATCAACTAGGTAACTAGTGAGCCTGCTACAATCAACTAGCTAGCTAGTGAGTCATTAATGGTTCACTAGTTAACTAGTGGCACTGACCTACTCCAACTACTTAACTAGTTAGGAGTTTTGCCTTCACTAGTGAACATGTGGACACTTTGAACTGTCACTAGTTAACTAGTGAGACACAAAAACCTTCAACTAGCTGACTGGTATGCATTTTAGCCCTTACTAGTTAACTAGTGAGCCATTTTTGTGTCACCTAGTTAACTAGGAAGCCAAAATGTGTTCACTTGTCAACTAGTGGGCATTTCTTCTGTCACTAGTTAACTAGTGTGCACATTTTGGCCATCACTAGTTAACTAGTGAGACACAAAAACCTTCAACTAGCTGACTGGTATGCATTTTGGCCTTTACTAGTTAACTATTGAGCCATTTTTGTGTCACCTAGTTAACTAGTGAAGCCAAAATGTGTTCACTAGTTAACTAGTGAACATTTCCGTCTCCCACTAGTTAACTGGTGGGCTCATTTTGACCCTGACTAGTTAACTAGTGAGACACAAATACCTTCAACTAGCTGACTGGTATGCATTTTGGCCTTTACTAGTTAACTAATGAGCCATTTTTGTGTCAACTAGTTAACTAGTGAAGGTCAAAATGTGTTCACTAGTTAACTAGCGTGTACAGTTTGACCCTCACTAGTAACTAGTTGACCTGTTGACAAGATATCAGAATTAATGCTCAAGCGGCTGGCCAAATTGGGCAAAGTTAACAAGTGGGATTTTTACATTCAGTAGTCAGCTAGTACGAGTTTTTGTACCTTACTAGTTGACTAGTAAAAACTAAATGTGTTTAACTAGTTAACTAGTGGACATTGATCTGTCCACTAGTTAACTAGTGAACACACTGAGCAATACTAGTTAACTAGTAAGATATGAAACATTTTAACTAGTTAACTAGAGAGAATTTAGGCCTTACTAGTTAACTAGTTGACATTTAGGCTGTCACTATTTAACTAGTTGACACAAACATGTCTAACTAGTTAACTAGTTGGGGGCGACAGTGGCACAGGAGTTAAGTGCTCGCCCCGTAATCGGAAGGTTGCTGGTTCGAGTCCCGCTCAGTCTGTCGCTGTCGTTGTGTCCTTGGGCAAGACACTTAACCCACGTTGCCTGCTGGTGGTGGTCGGAGGGACTGGTGGCGCCAGTGCTCGGCAGCCTCGCCTCTGTCAGTGCGCCCCAGGGCAGCTGTGGCTACATTGTAGCTCATCCCCACCAGTGTGTGAATGTGTGTGTGAATGGGTGAATGACTGATTGTGTTGTAAAGCGCCTTGGGGGGTTCTAGGACTCTAGAAGGCGCTATATCAAATACAGGCCATTTACCAACTAGTGGACAGAAATGGCTTACATGTTCATGACAATGCTGGCTGATATCCTGATATCAGAATAAATGCTCATTTGGCTTGCCATAGACACAAGCAGTCTCCTTCTGATGTAGAAACAAGCAGTCTCCTTCTGATATCATGTAGAAACAAGATATATATGTCGGATATATATCAGAATATATATATGCTTGTTGAATATAAATCTTCATTAAAACGTTTAAATGTTCGATTTTAAAAACGTTAAAATGTTCATTTAAACGTTTCAATCTTCATTAAAACGTTTAAATGTTCATTTTCTAAAAATGTTAAAATCATCATTAAAATGTTTCAATCTTCACTAAAACGTTTAAATGTTCATTTTTTAAAAACGTTCAAATGTTCATTAAAACATTAAATTCTTCATTAAAAGGTTTAAATGTTCATTTTTAAAAACATTAAAATCTTCATTAAAACGTTTAAATGTCCATTAAAACATTAAATTCTTCATTAAAATGTTTAAATGTTCATTTTTAAAAAAAGTTTAAAGGTTCAATAAAGCATTAAAATGTTCATTAAAACGTTTAAATGTTCATTAAAATGTTAAAATCTTCATTAAAACGTTAAAATCATCATTTTAAAAATGTTAGAATGTTCATTAAAACGTTTAAATGTTCATTAAAAGGTTAAAATGTTCATTAAAACACTAAAATCTTCATTAAAACGTTAAAATCTTCATTTTTAAAAACGTTAAAATGTTCATTAAAATGTTTAAATGTTCATTAAAAAGTTAAAATGTTCATTAAAACATTAAATTCTTCATTAAAAGGTTTAAATGTTCATTTTTAAAAACATTAAAATCTTCATTAAAACGTTTAAATGTTAATTTTTTTAAAACTTTAAAGGTTCAATAAAACAATGTTCATTAAAACATTAAAATCTTCATTAAAAGGTTAAAATCTTCATTTTTAAAAACGTTAAAATGTTCATTAAAACGTTTAAATGTTCATCAAAAGGTTAAAATGTTCATTAAAACACGAAAATCTTCATTAAAATGTTAAAATCTTCATTTTTAAAACGTTAAAATGTTCATTAAAATGTTTAAATGTTCATTAAAACGTTAAAATCATCATTAAAATGTTAAAATCTTCATTAAAACATTAAAATCATCATTAAATTGTTTAAATGTTCATTGAAACGTTAAATTCTTCATTAAAATGGTTAAATGTTCATTAAAACATTAAAATGTTCATTAAAATGTTAAAATGTTCATTAAAACGTTAAAATCTTCATTAAAATGTTTAAATATTCATTTTTATATACATTAAAATGTTCATTAAAATGTTTAAATGTTCATTAAAACATTAAATTCTGCATTAAAACGTTTAAATGTTCAGTTTTAAAAACGTTAAAATGTTCATTAAAATGTTTAAACATTCATTAAAACGTTAAATTTTTCATTAAAACGTTTAAATGTTCATTTTTAAAAACGTTTAAAGGTTCATTAAAACATTAAAATGTTCATTTTTTGAAACAAGCAGTCTCCTTCTGACATCATAAAGAAACAAGCAGTCTCCTTCTGATATCATGTAGAAACAAGATATATATGTCTGATATATACCAAAACATATATATGCTTGTTGAATATAAATCTTCATTAAAACGTTAAAATGTTCATTTTTTAAAAACGTTAAAATGTTCATTAAAATGTTAAATTCTTCATTAAAACTTTTAAATGTTCATCTTTAAAAACGTTTAAATGTTCATTTTTAAAAACATTTAAAGGTTCATTAAAACGTTAAATTTTTCATTAAAATGATAAAATGTTCATTTTTTGAAACAAGCAGACTCTTTCTGATATCATAAAGAAACAAACATTATCTTTCTGACATCATAAAGAAACAAGCAGTTTCCTTCTGATATCATGTAGAAACCAGAAATATATGTCTGATATATACCAGAACATATATATGATTGTTGAATATAAATCTTCATTAAAACGTTAAAATGTTCATTTTTTAAAAACGTTAAAATGTTCATTAAAACGTTAAATTCTTCATTAAAACGTTTCAATGTTCATTTTTAAAAACGTTTAAAGGTTCATTAAAACGTTACATTTTTCATTGAAACATTTAAATGTTCATTTTTAAAAACGTATAATGGTTCATTAAAACGTTAAAATGTTCATTTTTTGAAATAAGCAGTCTCCTTTTGATATCATGAAGAAACAAGATATATATGTCTGATATATATCAGAATACAAATATGCTTGTTGAATATAAATCTTCATTAAAACGTTTAAATGTGCGTTTTTAAAAATGTTAAAATCATCATTAAAATGTTAAAATCTTCATTAAAACATTAAAATCATCATTAAATTGTTTAAATGTTCATTAAAACGTTAAAATGGTTAAATGTTCATTAAAACATTAAAATGTTCATTAAAATGTTAAAATGTTCATTAAAACGTTAAAATCTTCATTAAAATGTTTAAATATTCATTTTTATATACATTAAAATGTTCATTAAAATGTTTAAATGTTCATTAAAACATTAAATTCTTCATTAAAACGTTTAAATGTTCAGTTTTAAAAACGTTAAAATGTTCATTAAAATGTTTAAATATTCATTAAAACGTTAAATTTTTCATTAAAACGTTTAAATGTTCATTTTTAAAAACGTTTAAAGGTTCATTAAAACATTAAAATGTTCATTTTTTGAAACAAGCAGTCTCCTTCTGATATCATAAAGAAACAAGCAGTCTCCTTCTGACATCATAAAGAAACAAGCAGTCTCCTTCTGATATCATAAAGAAACAAGCAGTCTCCTGACATCATAAAGAAACAAGCAGTCTCCTTCTGATATCATAAAGAAACAAGCAGTGTCCTTCTGACATCATGTAGAAACAAGCAGTGTCCTTGCAGCTTGGGATTACTACTCTGCGCCCTCCACCAAGTTTTCCATGCTGCCGTGCTACAAACTGTCTGTAAGCTGCATGGCGGAACTGTCTGTTGTCCTCACCAGGGTCCGGGTCATCATAAACCACTCGAAACTCATTCCACAATGTTCTGGCCAGGTGAAGAACACCATTTTGCAGAATAAACTCCTCCATGTGTGGTACAGTTGAAATACATGTCTGGGGAGGCTGTTGGCAGCATTTCTTTTCCAAATCAGTTGGCATATCTCTGCAGTGGGAGCATACACACCATGAAGGTTGATTGGATGTTGGAGGTGCTGTGGCAGGTGGACCAGAGAGGGCAAGTACTTATTTATTTATTTATTTATTTTATTTCTAAAGCACTTTTCAAACAAAGTGTGATTCAAAGTGCTTTACAAAATGACCCCAGATTCCCATAACAGGTTAAAAACATTTACAAACATATGCAAGCAGACGCACACACACACACAGACTCACACACATACACAAGTAAAAATTATATTAGGCTGAGTCCAGATGAGCCAAGTATGGTAACGCAAGGAAATGCCATCAGAGGAGCCGTCTTCCCCGGCAGCATCAGGTCTTCCACACTAAGTCAGGGCGCTCAGTGGAGGGGGAGCATAGACCCCCACCTATAGAGCGCCCAGGAAGCTACAGTCGACCACCGCTCCCGGGGCAGAGGGCCCCCACAGAGGAAACACTGGATTAAAATGAGAACACCAGGGTCTCTGTCCAGCACCATGGTAAGGACGTCAATAGCCTGCTGAGGGTTCAGGTTCTGTATGTGTTGCTACAAAAGTGGAAAGAGAAGCTACAGCAACAGATTTTAGGATCATTTAGTGTAATTTTGTTATGCTTACACATTCAAAGTCTATTCGCTCTCTCTCTCGAGAGATCATCTCCAAGGTCCACAGCTGAGTGTCTCGCACTTCTTCGGCCTCTAGACGCACCACGGCTTTGAGATGATTGTGGGCATCTCCTTTTTGCACCACGTCTTGAGGATGCAATAGGAGGTTCAAACTCTTCCTCAGAGGGTTCCTCAATCACTGAACTCTAATTTGTATTAGAATAAAAAAAAATTATACTAATATAAAAAGTACTCTTGCATATTAATCAATTTTGACGCAGATCAGGTTTACATCTAGTCAAAATTTGGGCTAAACCAACAATAAACAGAAACCCTATGAAAACAACCATGATTATAGGAGGACTACACAGAATGCAGTGTTCATTCATGATTTCCACATAAATTATATGCTTTGATATATTCATCCCATCTTGAATGGCAAAGCAATTAAAAATAAGCTAATTACTCGTAATAAAATGCTAACAATTTGATAGGATTCATTTTATTTACAATATAGATTGTCAACTGTTACTGGTATTTTAAAATATGTATATATTTATAGATATTCTTTATAAAATGCCTTTTGTAAACAGTAAGTGTTTAACGTGCTGGTTAAAAACAACTTTCTTACCTCAGATAACTCCATTGCTAACACTAGCTCAGCTCTATTACGAAGAAGCAATGCTCTGGTGTTGACTCGGCTTTTCCTGCGCGTGCACATTAGGAGGCGTGGCTTTCGGCTCTTTCAGGAAGGGCGGGGGAGGCGGGGGAGTGAGCAACAGCCGTTCGAATTTAAAAATCTCCTCCTCACCCTGACGGTGTCATTTTACGGACCGTGCCTTTAAGACACTTAAAGGTATTGGCCAGACTTGGCATTAAAATTGTAGAAATTCTGTATAACTACACTTTACCATCTATATAAATATGAACTGCATTCAGTTTTTCATTTTGTTAAGGAATTTTGTCATAAATCATTACAGAAAATTAAAATTCTCTCCTCCAGAGAGTGAAGAGCTGTGTTCCGCATACGTCACTCCAGCACGTAAAACGAGGTAGCTGCTGATGCTAGTATTGTGAATAACTAGTTTGGATAGTTTCGTGCTCTTAATTATTACAAAAAATTGCGTTTACAGCTGCAGCAAAAGGTCTGAGCCATGTGTCCGTGTCCTACACACAATTTTAAATAACATAGGTCTGATCTAAAATAATAACCTATATCTATAAATCCATCTGGAACCGCACCGGTACTTCTGGAGTCCGAGTCCTGTTAGCATGACTGCAGCAACACTGTTAACTGTGTTCGCTCCGATAAGGAAAAAACAAGTCATTTGGGAAAACAACGACACACACAGATATAATCTAAAAGATGATTCCCATATTAACAATAGATCCACCATGGACCAGTAGAACCTGCGTGCAATCGTGGATTAGTGCAAACGAGTGATGGAGCTAAAACCAGCTGAGAACTCGTCAGTTTAGAGCTCTCGGTGGAGCACAGAAATCAAATATTTAACAGAAGTAAACAAACTGTACCAATTTTGGTTCTGAAGTTGAACAGAATCCACCTCAATGTTCAAATCGGGTCGCAGGTCTTCAGAATCAAACGGTCTAAAACACGTCTGCACCTCTGGTAGTGATAGCTAGCGGTTAAACTTCTCCGGTAATCCAATATCTGTTCTTGTCGTTGTGTCCCAGAGAAAAAACTAATCTGACCGACTAGCAGAGGCTTCAGAAGCAACATCTGACTGATGACACATTGTTTTGCTATTGACCCTTTGCACGTGACGTCACGCCACTCATGTGACCGCCCCCTTCGCCATGATGGACGGCAAAAAGACCGTTTACACCCATAGAAACTCCAGTGAGGATAGTCCAAACAAGCCAGTTTGTAGCCTTTTATTGCTTTTATTTAGTTGATTTGACAGTAAAATGGTTTTAGCTTGCTGCGTGGTTGGCTGCACTAAGAGACAAGGACGTAAACCCAACTCGTTTTTTATTTTTAATAACTTTGATGGAGACTGAGGACGGAGATGAACTGCAGCGATCAATCAATCAAGCGGACTAGCTGGCCTCAGATTTGCAGCGAACATGTTTTTACCGGGTAAGATTAACGTTAGTTTATTTCACGAGGAAGACAGGGACAGGGATAAATGTGATGTGTTTATACTAATTATTGCCTGATGGATGGGTATTTCACCACGGAGGCTGCGCTCCGTCCAGTGTAGTGTAAAGCGAGACAATTATTAACAATATTAAAGCTCCGATATATGATTACGTGTGCTAAAATTACGATATTTATTTATATGAGCGTCGGCGTTCAGAGATCTTCTCATTCCGGTGTGAGAGCAGCAGCTGAACCCGGTAACACCACCAGCAACAGAAGCTGGTAGGGATCCGGACTTTTTAAAAATCAGCTTTGGTGTAAAGTGAAACGCTGTTTACAACATAAAGTTATAAATCCAGAGGGGTGAATTTAGGCAAAGTCAGCAACATGTTTACATTGGTGAACAGCTGCAGAGAGAATGTAAGCTAACGTTGGTAAGCTAGTTAACATACTGCTCTCTATGAGCCCCCGCAAGATGCGCTACTTCTGATAACTGAACTGGGCATGAACTAGTTGAAGGAATGCTGGAGGAGTTTTGTTTTTGTTTTGATCGCAAAACAATTTCAGGCTCTTCTTTCCCCTTTGTTTAGTAGTCGTGTCGCTGGCTGTTTACATGCTTTTGCCGTCCACCTGTGGACCCACGTGATTAGGTGACGTCGGTGCAAAGGGTCAATAACCCTAATGCAGAAACTCCGGAGTCTGGGGTTGTTTACTATGGCTGTTTCAGCAGATCTCCTTGTGAAATGTCACCAGCGGCCCAGGGCATAGACTGGAAGTTAGTTTGTTTTTCCTGCACCAATCAATCAGATTTTCTTAAAATTCCAGCCGTAAAAATCCCAAAACCTTTTTCATCTGAGGTTTTAATACTTCTTTACACGTGCCATTCAAAGGACTTTTGCCTCTGGCCAATATCTTTAAAGTTAAGGGAACTCTGTTTCCATTTGTATTAATCATCACTTCTTCTTCTTAACTCATATTTATAATCATCTTTCATTTGTTTATTGATCTTTATATTCATTTTATAATTTCATGATTTTAAATTGATTTTATGATGGTTTGTTGCTTTGTTTTAAGGTTCATTATATAAATAAAATTTACTTACTTATTTTTCTCAACAATGATGTTTTGGGGTTATTTATGTGCTCCTCATAAACTCTCACCTCTTCTTGTTAAATAAAAAACATTAAAGAAGACAGTTTATGTTTTCACCTTGACCCAAAATTGTGACAAAACACCAGTGATGTGTTCTATCACCCTCTGGTGGCTAGTTCCTGTAACAGCTGTGCTGATTAGGTTCACGTTCACTCACTAATGTTGGGTTTATTGCAAAACTTTTGCCTGATAAACACAGTTAATTTTTTAATACACATTTTTTTTATTTATATGAAAACATGTCAACATTTTATTTGTTGTAAAACTATGATGAGAACTGGCCACATTTATTTCTACTTCTGCTTTCATTGCTTCAGAAATATAAAAACCAAACCAAATAAACACAGAATATTAGATGAACTAATTATGTAAAAAAAAAAATTTATTTTAGTCAGACTCTGTGAACCGATCTAGTCTTTGTTATTTTGTTAAATGTAATTTAAACCAATATGGAGTATTTAGTGGATCTGTGAGAGATTTAGATGATTTATAAAAGACAAGACAATAAAAAATTATTTTAACTACCACAGCTTTATTTTTGCTTCAGTTTTTTTTCAAATGGCACAATTATTTAGTTGTTTGGGTTTCCATTGAGTGACACCTTTTAAAAGAGACTACATCTAAAATCGGACTACTCAGATTTTTGTAAGACTTCAGCTAAAACTTTCGTGTTTGCAATAAAAACAGTAGATTCTGAAGCAGAAGGCGTAAAAGGACCTCTTCACCCTTTAAAGGTTTTCACTTCCATGCCCGCATCTTCTTCTGAGCTGCTTGTAAAGTCAAAATCTTCACTCCTGCAGGATGGAAACAGACATACAAAGAAATAGGTCAACTCAAAACTCCAACTGAGTTGTGTGAAAGTTAAGATGATGTAATTCCTACCAGCGCACACCAGTGTTTAATAACTGCTCACTGGCCAGAGTCCTGAGCAGGCTCCAGTAAGGAGCATTTCGCCCAAATCTCTGTGGGAGGACGGGGCTTGGAGCCTCTCTGATGTCACGGCACTCTCCACACATCTGGAGTAGCTCCCAAGACCTCCCGAACCTCTGGGGCATGTTGGGTCTGGAGTTGGGTGCCCTGTCGTCACTGCTGTCCCTGCCAAAGCGCAGGGGCATGTTGGCGTGCATGTGCAGCGGTTTGGCAGTGGGGGGGTACAGCTTAATGATGGTTGGCAGGCTGATCTTGCTGGTGGTGGGGGTCACGTGAATTTTGAAGCTCTCCAAGTCTAAGCTTCTGCGGATTCCACTCATCAGCTGGTCACAGGGAATCAAAAAGAGTTCTAGATTCAAACCACCGTTTTCTTAGTCTCCAATAAATAAAGTTATTAAACTTTGCAGACCTGCGGGTGATACATTTGTAGTTTAACCCTCTGGAGGCGGGCGTTGCAGGTTTTCAACGTTAACACCTACCTACCCGGTTACTCCACATACGTATTTCATGAGCATTTTTTAACTCAGAAGAACCCCTGAAGGACTTAGTTTTTTGCCCTTTTATCAAACTTACTTTGAGCCTGAGAGCGTTCATCTACCAGAAAACACAAGTTTCTCCTAACTGACTCGAAAACCAGACTTCTGTTTAGCTTTTTCACTAAAAACAAAAAGTTTTAGCATTAATGCAGAAGTAGTAGCTGACTGATTCCTACCTGTTGGCGAGGCAGCTTCCTAATCGAGTACCTGTTGCCGTTGCTGCTTTGCAGGGTCTCGTCGTTGTGGATGGATTTCCCAAAGACACGGAAGTCGTATGCTGCAGCCCCTCCGAGACCCCCCAGCATCAGCAGCGCCAGCAGTGTCACTGTGGTCAGCATGGTAGGAGCTCTGTTTTACACTGTCTACCAGGGCGGTGTTTGGACACATGTCTTTCTGCACACTGACCAGTCCTGGTGATTTTAAACCTCTGGACACGTGCGTCAGCAGTAGCGCACGGTGGAGACACCGACACACGCACAGAGACCCATTCAAACATTGCTAACTGATGTACTAATCATCCGGCTCAGGTAGTTAAATCTGATAGAGGTATCTGTGCACTAATTAGGCTGCTGAATGAACTGAATGCCTTTTGTTTTCAGAGAGGAAATAACACACACACACACACACACGAACACACAGCAATCTGGATTATGCAAAAGAAACAACATGCCACACCAAAGACTTAAATTGAATTAAAAATCAAGGTTCTATTCATCTGATCTGCTTGGTTATAGAAAATATTAAACCAGTTTCTATCAGGACATTTTCTTTCATGCTAATTTCTATTGGAGTATATTGAACACAGAAATGTTAAAGCTGCAGCCAGTGGGTTGTTTGGGTCACCGTGGTAATCATACACAGGCATAAATACCACGATACAAGGAGCACAGGCCCATTGTTGGATAGACAGCTTACACGGTGTTAAACACCCTCACTACCAGTTGTGAAGAAAGAATCCTAGACTGCTGAAAAGTTACAGCCCACGGTGACATCACACCAAGTTTAACACTCCACTGTTTGATATCAACCATACTCAATGAATATCTATTTGAAGGTATAAAGTCCAACTTTTTGTGATCCCTCTGAATAATGTTTTAAATGAAAATAACATTACAATAATCAGAAGAGTGTGAAGAGCAGGTACATGCGTGCATCCGTGCTCTGGTCTCCTTGGTCTCCACTTTTATTCAACTCCTCAATTCCTCCATTTTAGCCATCATAAATCCACTCAGTAAATAAAGTCCATCATGGCAGGTATTCGCCCCACACAGGCGTTTGTGTTGCTCAGGTGCACCAGGATCAGCCTGAATGTCAGGAATGCCCGTTGTGTCACAAGGTGATGATGACGAGCAGCAGGGAATTTTAATTTGATGGATGTGGCGTCACCTGGAATTGTTGCCGTCCGGTCCGGTTTCTGAGAGCAGAGCAGCTCATACAGTAACTCAGAGGATAAGAATCAAGTCACATCTGGTTTGAGTGAACCTGCCTCGGCGTGGCCTTTCTTTCAGTTTTCTTTTCTGCATCGTGGTCTACCTCCCACCTCTCCTCAGCCCTTTTCTCCGTGTTTTCCCTCCCTGACCCTGGACCCGGCGCGTTGACTGTGGGATTTGGGATTTACGACGGTGTGTTGGACCGTCATCCTGAGTCCTATCTGCAGAGCGCCTCCATAAACCTCTCCCTTTGTTCTTTCAGCGAGCTCTCCCAGCACTCCCTACAAGTCCTTGCTCTCTGCCACTGTAATTCTCTCTCCCTAATGTTTTAATGCTCATCTCTCACCACCCCTGCAGCCTTTTCGTCTTTGCACTTACATGCTTTTGCCCCCATTCCTTTCTCTGCATGTTCTTAAAACACTCTGTGTCTTTGATGGGATTATAGGTCATAACTCTGTTTTTGACAGTCCGAGCACCCATGCTGCATAACACCCATAAGAGTTATCTATGTGTTTATTTTGCTTGTGATTTAAATGAAGATGATCTTTAATTAAGGGTAGAATGTGCAGGATGACGTCTGCTCCAAAACACCTCCATCTAAATATTGGCCTGTGAGATTAATGGCAACATGAGCTCCAGTCACTGATGGGTGAAACAAGAAACGTCAAAGTTTAACTGTAGGGCTGCTTAGGTGTCTTTGCAGGTTCTCCAGGATGATGAGTTCTTTCTCCCCAACCTGTCAGAGTTGTCTAAAATTAAATAAGACATCGGATCATTTCACTCCTGCAGCTTTTTCTGCCCATCTTTGTTAGTTTTCAGCTGAATTGACCAGACATATTTCCCAGACTTCCTAGACTTTGAGGATGCGTTGCAGCAAGGCGAGTGAGAGCAAGGAACGTCAGGAGTTTCTGTGCCAAACCAATCAGAACATGCAAGCCTCGTGTAACATGCAACTCTGAAAATGTCTGGATCTGAGCTTTGACTTTCCACTTTATTTAACAGTTGGCTAACAAAGATGAGATTTGGGAGAAGGGTTGGTACCAAGAGCCAATCGTGTGGCTAATGGCTGGAAAAAGGCAGCCATCTTGGATTTTTTTAAGGGACTAAATGAGCAAATCTGAGAATAGATTGAATCATGTTTTGCACGTTTGAACTTGCTGAGCAGCGAGTTAGCCATCTGACCAGCTGGGCAAATCTATCTACCTGGACAAGCTTCCAGGCCCAGGCTGCCACAGCTACCTGACTCCACCATCAGCCATCAGGCCAGAGCCAGGATTGGGCAGCGCTAGCACCCAGGGAGAACAAGTGGGTTAACGTTTCCGTAACACCGTGGACATTTCATTTTACCTGCAGGGTAGAGGGATTTAAGCAGTCTGAACAGACAGACTACAGGCCTCAGGATTTTTCTGCATGTCTGCATCTATGAAGGAGATAAAAACAACAATCGGTCACATATCAGAAGAAATGGTGATGAATGAAATCAAAGAGCTCAAAACCTTGTCATGGAGAAGGATGAACTCATCCTTAAACTAGAGCAGTGAACAATATTTCTGGAAAGAGGATATTACCTGGTTTAGAGATAAGACTTCACTCCTATGCATAGAGCTTGATTCAGGTGGAGTAAAAGGGGAGGACCCAGCATCTAACATAGGTGTTGGTAGGGAAGTAAGGCCGCTGCAAAAACAGAACATTGCAACGTGGGTCTGGAACTCTAGCGCTGTTTTTGTTTCAGTTCTGTTTCATATTTGATTAATAATATAAATGTGATGTGACCTTACACATATAAGTATAGATGTGTAAACAGATTTAATATTAAAGCAGTGAATATTGGAGGAGTGGAGTTGAAGTATCTCGGGTTCTTGTTCACAAGTGTTGTGGGGGTATGTTATGGGGTAAGTATTGTTCATTATATGATTTAATTTTGAAAGTTCATCCGTCTTGTGCTGTGACTAAAAAACACTCTTAGATAAGAATGAGCGTGGAGGGACCTTGGCCAAGTGACAGTATCTTTCTTGCAGATTAAAGCTCCAGATAAGACTTATGTCTCCAAATGACTTGATACTAAAGGGGTGACCTGTAGATGGAAAAACAGACCATTTCCGGAGGCTACAAATTTGTCAGCGCAGTTAAACAACCGTTCAATGAGTCAGAAATAGCACAGTGTGTTTTTTGATTTGTACATGATAGACTGGTTATTATGTTGTGGGGTAAATATTGTTGCTTTTGAGCTTAATATATTACTTTTACTTATGACCAATAAGATGTGATATTCTATATAAGCATAGAATATCAACCTGCTTGGTCTTTGAATGTTTAATCAGAAGATTCTAGGATTCTTTGCTTTTTCAGTGATCATAACACACTTCGTATTAATTCAGACAGAGTCAGGTTTATAAAAAGTAAGACATTTAATTTCTAAACAAATTAAAAACAAGACAAGTTAAATAAGATGAATGTGATGGATGAATATAAGTAGATGGGATGGGATGTATGGTGATTATAGTGGGTGTTTATCAGAACCTTGTATCTAGAAGAAACTGAGTTCTGGGTGTGAAAAGAATTTGGTCTGCATTAAACTATGAAGTTGTTTCTTATCAAAATGGCATCAGACACAATCTTGCTGTGTTCTACATACCCCTGAGGAGACTCTCCTTCGGATCCGAGACGTCGGGGGGTTGGGTGACCCCAAGGTACCGAAGTTCATAGAAAAGACTGCAGTACGACCAGGTCAGTCCAGAGTTGTCTCCCGGATCACAAAAGATAGATTAAATCGTCTGCGTCTAGAACAGCTGTTTCTGAATAGCTGAAGGAACCGTTTTTGCTGTCCGCTGTAGCGTGTAGGTTTTGACAGCTTGTCAAGAGATGCAGTGGTTAGAGTTTTCCCCGGTGGTCAGTCCGGAGTTCTGCTCAAAAACTAACTGGATCACTCCGTAAGTGATTCTGTTGTAATATTCACATGTTATGATTACACGGCCAATCAGGACAAAAGAGGTTAAGAGGTGTTAACAAACAAACCTCAGAACACACGAATGTTCTAGTTCTGTGGATAAAGAATCTTTATGTGCAGTGACGTTAACTTTAACTTATCTCTACTGAACATTGTGTATGAGTGTAGATAATGATTCACTTGTTAAACCAAACACCAAAATGTTTCATTGTAATAGTACAATTCATTTCAGCTTCATTGAATTAGGCACAGATTATTGAAACATTAATATTAGTATTCATATAACATTTGTTCATTCGACCATATTGTTATTTAATGATTATTTAATGTATGAGTTGTAAAAGTTCATCTTTCATGAGAATGAGCAATCCTGCAGTCTTATCAAAAGAAGGCTTTGTTGGGCACATAGGCTGACATCTTGTTCCACCTGAAATGTCAACAAGGACTGCAGAATCTTCTGGGCTTTAGAAGACAGAATAGAAACTCCACTCAGATAGTGGAATTAGGTCTTTAGATGACCGGACATTGTGTAGGTCAATATGTAGGTGAAAATTGACCATTTCTGGACGCTACACGAGTGAGGACAAGATGTATGGAACTAGGATTGGGACAATATTACATTTAACTTGTACCAAGTTTTGTAACTTGTTACATGTTTTGTAACTGTGACTTTTGTTTTGTAGCATGTAATTCATGTTTTGTAACACGTAACTTTTGTTATGTAACATATAACTTTCGTTTTATAAAGGGTAACTTTTGTTTTGTAGCATGTAATTCTCATTTTGTAACAGGTAACTTTAGTTTTGTAGCATGTAATTCTCATTTTGTAACAGGTAACTTTAGTTTTGTAGCATGTAATTCTTATTTTGTAACAGGTAACTTTAGTTTTGTAGCATGTAATTGATGTTTTGTAACACGTAACTTTTGTTACGTAACATATAACTTTCGTTTTGTAACGAGTAACTTTAGTTTTGTAGCATGTAATTCTCATTTTGTAACAGGTAACTTTAGTTTTGTAGCATGTAATTCTCATTTTGTAACAGGTAACTTTAGTTTTGTAGCATGTAATTCTCATTTTGTAACAGGTAACTTTAGTTTTGTAGCATGTAATTCTTATTTTGTAACAGGTAACTTTAGTTTTGTAGCATGTAATTCATGTTTTGTAACACATAACTTTTGTTACGTAACATATAACTTTCGTTTTGTAACGAGTAACTTTAGTTTTGTAGCATGTAATTCTTATTTTGTAACAGGTAACTTTAGTTTTGTAGCATGTAATTCTCATTTTGTAACAGGTAACTTTAGTTTTGTAGCATGTAATTCTTATTTTGTAACAGGTAACTTTAGTTTTGTAGCATGTAATTCTTATTTTGTAACAGGTAACTTTAGTTTTGTAGCATGTAATTCATGTTTTGTAACACGTAACTTTAGTTTTGTAGCATGTAATTCTTATTTTGTAACAGGTAACTTTAGTTTTGTAGCATGTAATTCATGTTTTGTAACACGTAACTTTTGTTACGTAACATATAACTTTCGTTTTGTAACGAGTAACTTTAGTTTTGTAGCATGTAATTCTCATTTTGTAACATGTAACTTTGGAACCTAGCATGAAACTTTTATTTTGTAACTTGCAGAAAAAAATCTCTGTACAAGTTTCAAATCACAACTCTCAAATCAAAAATCTCAGTCACAGTTACAAAACTCAAGTCTACAAGTACAAAACAGTTTTTCCCAATTCTAGCTTGCTTCCAACAGGAATTGTCTTCTACAGGAATCCAAGACTCATGATTGGCTGGTCAGATAAAGCCTGTCATTGGTTCTTTGGGAAGGAAGTTAGAATTTGGACAAAATGTTTTGTACTTGTAGACTTAAGTTTTGTAACTGTAGACTGAGATGCGTGTTTTGAGAGTTGTGATTTGAAACTTGTACATTTATTGTTTTCTGCAAGTTACAAAATGAAAGTTTCATGTTACAAAATGAGAATTACATGCTACAAAATAAAAGTTACAGTTACAAAACATGTTACAGGTTACAAAGTTTGGTACAAGCTACATGTAATATTGTCCCAATCAGTGTTGGGAGTAACGCCGTTTAAGTATAACGGCGTTTCTAACGGCGTTCTTTTATAGGTAACGGAATAATCTAATTAATTACTTTTCCCGCCGTTGCAACGCCGTTACCGTTACTGGGGACGGAAGGTTGTGCGTTACTATGTGCTTGTCGAACGTTGAGCAACAGGGTGAGGCTTTCTGAGCGCCACACTTCAGCTGCAGCCAGGAAGAGAGAGGTGTCGGTAACGCACTTACAAACACGATGATGATTGGCCGGGTGGGCGGAGACCCTCAGTGTTCTCACTGTCACCGTATGCTGTGGACCCAACAGAGCAATGACGGGAATAACTCCGTTTAAAATAACCGCGTTAATAAAAAATATTTATTTCTGTAACGAGCAAACTAATTAATTACGTCTTCTTTTATCAAAATGTCGTTTCTGTTACTGATAAGGAAATGTGTGCGTTAAGCAGCGCGGTGTGTTGAAGCTGTCATCAGCTGATCAGGAGCTAAAGAGGTAGATGTTTAAGAGCATCACGGCCCGTGAAGAACGAGGAAGACGTGATGAATTGTCTACGGCTGCAGACCCCCCGCAGATTTGTTGCTGCAGCAGCGAATCTGCGGGTCTGCAGCCGTGCCCTTAGCATGACAGCGGGACGTCCCGAAGGTCCGCTCACCTGTTCACCACTCAGACGTCCTGATCTTCTACCTTCCTAGGTCATCCAGCTGTAACCTGTTTCTGATCATGTCTTTAGTCCCGCTGTAGCACTGATGCATCAGTCTCAAACGTCATGGAGCTCAGGTGTTATCAGAACTACCTGTGTGTGTTTACCACCAGCTTCAGCTCTTCTGTGGTTGGGTCTGACCCAAGTTAGTATGTAAGTCCTCCATCAGATCTGTGCCTCTTCTAGTGTCATTTTAAAGGATATTTATTTATTTATTTATTTAACCATTACTAGATTAGCAGCAACAGAAATGCTACTAAAAACACACAGTTATGTGAAGCTGGAAAAATTAGAATACTGTGCAAAATTACATTCATTTCTGTAATTTAACTAGACTGAGAGACCATTTAAAGGCTCGGGAACCTTTACAGGTGTTTCTATTTGCAATCTTACATTTTAGCTGATTGGGGTCTTGTTAAATATCACACAGTGACCTTTTAATAGTCTAGATTAGTGTAATGTTCCTATTAGTAGTTCCTCCTGTTAAGTGCTTATTTGTTTAAATTATTCAGGTTTATATGAAACATTTGGAAATACATTTTATTATGTTCAGTCATTAGTCATTTATATTTTACTATTGTAGTAATTCTTGCATTCTTTAATGAAAAAAGTAACTAAGTAGTTACTTTTGTTGGTAATTAGTTACTTTTATGATCTTGTAACTCAGTTAGTAACTGAGTTACTTTTTGGACAAAGTAATCAGTAACTATAACTAATTACTTTTTTAAAGTAACGTTCCCAACACTGGTCCCAATCCTAGTTCTATAAAGATGGGAGCATGAGATCGATAGGAGAATTGGTGCTGCGTCTGCAGTGATGCGGGCGTTGTACCAATCTGTCGCGGTGAAGAGAGAGCTAAGCCAGAAGGCAAAGCTCATGATTTACTGGTTGATCTACGTTCCTACCCTCACCTATGGTAACAAGCTTTGGGTAGTGACTGAAAGACTGAGATCGCGGATACAAGCGGCTGGAATTTGTTTTCTCTGCAGGGTGGCTGGGCTCTCCCTTAGAGATAGGGTGAGAAGAACGGTCATCCGGGAGGGACTCGGAGTAGACCTGATGCTCCTCCACATCAAGAAGAGCCAGTTGAGGTGGCTCGGGCATCTGGTTAGGATGCCTCCTGGACACCTCCCTGGTGAGGTTTTCCAGGTACATCAAACTAGGAAAAGACATAAAGGAAGACCCAGGATATCTGGGAATGCCTTGGGATTCTCCCGGAGGAGCTGGCCCAAGTGGCTGAGCCTCTCTGCTTAGGCTTACTCCCCACAATCCAACCCTGGGTAAGTGGAAGAGAATGCATGAATGCATAGAAAGATGAATGACCAATCCACTGTCATCTGGACAAAGCAGGCAGCACTGTGAGGGTCATGTTCTTTGATTTCTCCAGTGCATTTAACACAATCCAGCCTGATGTACTATGCCAGAAACTCCAGAAGACACAGGTGGGGGCCGCAACTATCGCCTGGATTAAAGACTACCTGACAAACAAACCACAGTTTGTGAGGCTGAAGAACTGCACATCAAACCAGGCGATTAGTAACACTGGAGCACCACAGGGGACTGTACTCTCACCATTCCTTTTCACCCTGTACACCTCAGACTTCCAGTACAAATCAGAGACCTGTCATCTACAGAAATACTCAGATGACTCTGCAGTTGTCGGGTGTATCAGAGATGGACAGGAAGCTGAGTACAGAGAGCTGGTGGAGCGCTTTGTGGCATGGTGTGGAAACAATCATCTGACCTTGAACGTGAACAAAACATAGGAGATGATTTTAGACTTCAGAAGAAACAGGGTGGAGTCAACCACTGTTTCCATCATGGGAGAAGAAGTGGAGGTGGTTGAGGAATACAAATACCTTGGAGTTCACCTGTACAACAGACTGGACTGGAGAAAGAACAGCCAAGCTGTTTACAAGAAAGGACACAGCAGACTGCACTTCTTGAGGACGCTTAGGTCCTTCAATGTCTGTAGCAAGATGCTGCACATCTTCTACAAGTCTGTTGTTGAGAGTGTAATCTCTTCAGCCATCGTCTGTTGGGGTAGCAGCATCAGAAGCAGGGACCTGAAAAGGCTCAACAGCCTAATAAAAAAGGCTGGCTCTGTTCTGGGACGACTGTGGAACCGCTGGAGGAGATAATGCAAAGAAGGATTCTCCAGAGAATCAAGAAAATTATGGACAACCCTGAGCATTCTCTTCACAAGACTGTCCGACAACGGAAGAGTGTCTTCAGTCAGAGGCTTCTTCTGTTTCGCTGCAACACTGACCGCTACTGGAGATCCTTCCTGCCAACAGCCATTGTAATATACAATAACTCTTTGACGACTTGATTATTATTATTAGCTACTACAGCAATCATTTTCCCTCTGGGATTAATAAAGTATTTTTGAATTGAATTGAATTGAATTGAATTTTTGAGGCCATGAGCAGAATGTGTCAGCCCCTGTCTCCTGCTGTGATCATCTCAAGGAATGAATTTAAAACGTGGTTTCTGAAGGTTGTAAAATCACACAAAACAGGATGAGATTGGAGGCAACAATCCGTGTTTTTCAGCTTTTTGCCTCACCTACGAACCCCTGAATATCCTCAGGGTGAGTAAGAGGTGTTGTGTTAAAGAAAATGCATCATATTTTATTGCTTGTTCTTGGTCATTGGATCAGCTTCTACAGGCTGAGGACATGCTGGACTGGTAACTGAACTGTTGTGTTGGAGCAGACACAACTAAACGATGCTGGATAAGTCGTACCACTGTCAGAATAATCATTATTGGCTAGCGGTTAAATCATGAGTCCAAGGACTTCTTCTGATTGTTTCCACAAGCTAAATAGTTGTGTGTTCATGGCTCTAGCTAGATTCCCATTTAAAGATGGAGGCGTAGACTGACGAGTGACTCTAACAAAGAGTCTGGACGTCCTTTTAGGTTCCAGTTCATACTTCATTTAATCTGCTTTTGTTTCTTTTTATGGCAAGTAAACACTAGATGGCACCAGAGGATGGAACAACCAGCAATAGAACTTCCTCTATTTTTAAGTATCTTTTCTTGTCTTTTTCTGAGTATTTAGTTACCATTGTCATCACAGATAATATTAACATTTTTTCTTCACTTTTATGCGCTTTTTGAATAATGTAGTTAACTAAGTGAGAAGAATCTCCCACAAGGTGGTGCACTTCCCCCTCAGCTTGAAGAGGAGGTGGAGCATCCTGGTGGAGGTGGAGAGTCATAGGGGAGGCTGTCCCAGCACAGAGAGGGAGGGTCCAGGGAAAGGAGGAGGCGCTGTGAAGAAGGTGGTGCAGACATCAACAGCCAATCACAGTGTAGAAAACCCACCAATGGGAGAAGCAGGAGAGAGGGGAGAGAGAGAGAGAGAGAGAGAGATGGGGAGGAGGGAGAGAGAGAGGGAGAGAGAGAGAGATGGGGAGGAGGGAGGGAGAGAGAGAGAGAGAGAGAGAGAGAGAGAGAGAGAGAGATGGGGAGGAGGGAGAGAGCAGGAAACTGAGCAAATGACCCTTGATGAGAGAAAGGTGGTGGAGGATGGGAAGGACAAGGGGAGCAGAGGGGCCCTGGAGGAGGAATAAGTGTGTGTGTGTGTGTGTGTGTGTGTGTGTGTGTGTGTGTGTGTGTGTGTGTGTGTGTGTGTTTGATGCAAAGGCTGAGAAAAACTGCCATATTCCAATTCTGGGACGTATTTTTGCTTGAGGCTCAATCAAGTTTATACAGATGAATACAATCTCACTGGTTGGAGGAATGAAGGAACTGTTTAGGAAATGATGAAGCTGTTGTATGTTAAAGACAGCACGTGTGACAGTTAGTCTGACGCGACGCTGCTGAGCGATTAACACTCACCAAGGTTTGGAAATGCCTGCTGCTTCTGGCGGTTCAAAAACAAGCCTTTTTACAGCTTTCCTTGCTTTCTCTTCATTTGAATGTTTACACGGTCATTTATCTGTTGAGTGACTTTCATGATCCCTGGGCCCTGGAAACCTCTTAAAGCCTGGCACATAAATCCCCAAAACACCGCTGTCCTAAAGAAAATAAGCACCTTCCTCCTCTGAACGTGTGTGTTTAGCAGCGCTCGAGCCGCCGGCTTTGGGAGAGCAGGATTCATCCGAGGAATCAGGGTGAAATAGGAAGATAAAATAAAGAGAAAACTCTTTCCCTGATTGTTCCTCATGACCCCTGGGCCTCATCC